GTTTTTAAAATGACGACGATATTATAATTAAACTAATTAAAATTTTTTTTTTTATTTATTATTATTTATATCTATAAAATTTAAAAAAAAAAAAAAAAAAAAATTCCCTTTGGATTCCCATAGTTAATTTAAATTACTTTTTTTTTTTTTTTTTTATTTAATTGCAGTAATAAAAATACAAAAAAAAAAAAAAATTAAAATAAATAAATAAATAAAATAATAAATTTAAAAAGGAAAAAAAAAAAAAATGAAATGCGCAGGGTTCAAATGGCGTCGGATGCTGGAATTGCAGATTTTTCTCAGTTGAATTTTAAAATTCGTTTGATAATGTTTTTTTATTTTGTTTTTTTTTTTTTTTTTCAATTTTTAATTTTTAATTTTTATTAACATTTTATTTATTTATTTATTTTATTATCATTTATTATCGTTTATTATTATTATTATTATTTTGTTATATGTTAAATAATATGCAAATTTAATAAAAGTGTTTTTTTTTTTTAATGAGTTAAATAAATAAATAAATAAATCGTTTTTCGTATTATTTAAATTAATAAATCACAACTCAAACGTAAATATGGAACAACATTTTGAAAAATTTAGGTCAGTCAATAATTATTATTATTATCATTATCATTATTATTATTTTAATTACAAAAAATAGAAATCATTTACCGTCGTTTAAATCTATGACATTAATAAACTTATTTATTTGTTAATATTTTCATATTTTTCCTTATTTTCGAACCAAAAAAAAATGAAAGTTTACGTTTTATTATTATTATTATTATTACTATTATTATTATAATTAATAAATATGAAAATTTAAATATTTGACCAAATAATAAATTTTCCATGCGTTTCCATTTTTTTTTTTTTTTTTTTTTTTTTTGTAAAAAGAATTAAAAGAAAATTCACGAATGATTAAAATTTAAAATGTCGAAAATTTATTCATAGTAAACTTATCATCATCATCATCATCATTTTTTTTTTCTTAAAACTAAATTTAAAAAAAAAATAAATTTTTATTAAAAGTTTTATGTATTTATGTACATAAAACGTGTTTCCGCTTAAATAAAATAAAATATTATTATCAAAGCCGTTCGTATATAGAAAAACTTTCACTTGTGAAAATTTACAAATAAAAACTTTAATAATTTTATTTATTTATTTATTTTTTTTTTTTAGAATAATTAATTTGGTTCCGAAGAAAAAAAAATAATTTTAGTAAAAAGCATTAATAAATTAATCATTAACAAAAAAAAACGATAATAATAATAATTATTAATAATAAAAAAAAGATGCCAAAATCTTTAAGTATATATTTTGAAAGTGCCACACAACATTTTTCACAGGTAACAAAAAAACTTTTTATCTATTTTTTTTTTTTTAGATAAGAAACTATAAGAAATTATTATTATTATTATTATTATTATTATTATTATTATTATTATTATTATTATTATTATTATTATTATTATTATTATTATTATTATAATGTTATAAGATTATACGGAAATTAATACAAAAAAAGGTTTTTTAGGTTTTGGCAACTTTGGCTGTTTCTTTAGGACCTTTTGCTGCAGGCCTTGGTAAAGGTTATAGTTCTCCAGCTCTTGCTTCATTGGAAGAACAACAACTACAACCTCACAACACTTCGACTTTTGTCGTGTCACCTCAACAAGCATCTTGGATAGCTAGTTTGTCTTTGTTCGGGGCTTTGTTTGGGGGTTTATTAGGAGGAATGGCTATGCAATTCGGTAGAAAAAAAATTATTTTAGGTGCTTCCCTTCCGTTTTCTCTATCTTGGCTCATGACTGTGTTTGCAACGAGTGTTGAAATTATGTACTTTGCCGCATTTGTTGGAGGTTTCTGTTGCGCGATCGTGCTCTTGGTATCACAGGTACGTAATATTTTTAAATTTAATAAAATTATAAATAATATCGTAAATAAATAAAATCATTTTTCGGGTGTTGCAGGTATATATTAGCGAAATATCTGCACCAGATATCAGAGGCGGATTGAGTGCGGTCCTTAAAATTGTCGGTCACACGGGAACACTTGTGAGTTTTGCTTTCGGAGCTTATTTAAATTGGAGAGAACTTGCTTTATTGGTATCGGCTGCTCCGATTATGTTATTTGCAGTTGCATTTTACATACCGGAAACTCCTAGTTTTTTAGTGCTCGCTGGTAAAGATGACGAAGCAAAAGAGTCTTTGCAATGGCTTCGCGGTCCAAACGTTGATATTTGTAAAGAACTAGCCACCATTCACGCAAACGTATTGACAAGAGCTCAACGGAACAGCACCAGGAGATCGAACATAAAAAATATAAGCATTCAACTTTCGAAACCGATTTTTATAACTTGCGGTTTGATGTTTTTCCAAAGATTTTCCGGCGTGAATTCATTTAATTTTTACGCCGTCACGATTTTTCGAAAAACGTTCGGTGGCATGAATCCACACGGCGGTGCGATATCAGTCGGTTTTGTTCAATTACTTGGATCTATGCTTTCTGGCCTTTTAATTGATGTTGTCGGTCGTTTACCTTTACTCATAGCAAGCAGTGTTTTTATGTCTATGGCTTTAGCCGGCTTCGGTTCTTATTCGTATTATCAAGATGTTCGAAAAGAAAACAATTATAATTTTTCCGAGTCTTACGCTGCTCAGTGCGATTGGATTCCTCTTCTCTGCGTATTGGTATTCACAGTAGCATTTTCATTGGGGATCAGTCCAATATCCTGGCTCTTGATAGCAGAACTATTTCCGTTAGAATATCGAGGATTCGGAAGTGCTATAGCTTCGTCTTTCAGTTATTTCTGTGCATTTATTGGAGTGAAAACATTTGTGGATTTTCAACAACTCTTCGGCCTTCACGGAGCGTTTTGGTTTTACAGTGCCATATCAATCATCGGATTATGGTTCGTCATATGCTTCATACCGGAAACAAAAGGTTGCAATTTAGAAGAAATGAATCAGGCATCTTTTCCTACCTAGTATCAGGCTGAATGTTCGCCGAACAGGTGTCAAACTAACACGAATCCGGATAAAAGCTCAAAATTATATCTTTTCAACGTCAATTCTCCTTACGGTAAGAGTTACAGAGAGGTATACGTTTGAGATTTGAAATTTTTTTAAATATCAAACGATATTAATTATTATCATTACTGATAACTGTTATCAAATCCATTTTTGATTTGATGCTTACATATGTAATAACATATGTAAAATTAATAACAAAAATTTGCACAAAAACATATTTAAATTAAATATATATACATAAAAATAAAAAAAAAATTTATAAAATTATTTATATGTTAAAAACGAAGAAACGAAATCGAATAAGATTAATAAATTAGAATACATAGATGCTATTTAATTGGCCTTTTTTGCATTAAATAAAGACAATACCTATACGTGATAATAAAACGGCTTAAACTTATTTATTTGGCTTTCAAGTTTTATAAAAAATTTTAGATACACACACACACACACACTCATATATATAATAATAATAATAATAATAATATACAATAATAAGACAATAAATTTAAAAAATATATATATAATATTAGTCTATATTAGAACGGCCTTGTTTATTTTATATTATTTATTTTTTAATTTATAAATATATATATTATCATCATCAGGACCAAGTACAAAAATTTTTATTTTTTAACATTCGTGAAATCTATGTTTTCCATTTGAGATAATAATAATTAATTTTAAGTAAATCGCATAATAATAATAATAATAATAATAATTTTTAATTCATACATCGCAAAAAAAAAAAAAAAATCATTCGTCAATTATAATTATGTTTTATCATTCGAAAAAAATTCATGAATTGTCTTCCACGATAATTATATTAGAGAAAAAAAAATGGTGGCCAAATTATTTGTGTATTTTTTAAATTAAAAAAAAAAAAAAAAAATTTTTATCTTAAACTAAACAACATGTTATTCTTATGTTAAACATTATTATTATTTTTAAATTAATACATATAAAAATACAGTAAACCTTTTTTTTTTTTTATATTTTGCTTAAACCTCCCAAAAGTTACAAAATAATTATTTATATTTTCTAAAAGTTAAAAAATTTCAATTTATACTTGAATACCTATTAGGTATCGTCTAGTTTATATATAAGAAAAAAAATTAGTATAATAATATATATATTAAACGCTTTTAATTAGTAAATAATAATAATAATAATAATAAACAAAATGTTTATGTTTTGTTTTTAAAATAATTGCTTTTTAATTAATTGAATGAGAATTTTTTATACGCGTTTTATAGTGATACTATTAATATATTTTACAAAATATAGTATAGAGTAAATTATAATATAATTGCATTGTATTAAGTAAAAAAAAAAAATTTTTTTTTTTTAGATGAATTTAATTAATTATTTTGTTTGTTAAAATAAAAAAAAATGAATTTTTACTGATAATTTTTAAATATTTACATGAATCACATAGATTCATTACTTTAATTAATATTAATATATATATATATATATATAAATAAATTAGAAATGTTTAATATTTTTACAATTAATACTATTAAATTTACAAAAAAATAAAAAAGTTTTTTTTTTTTTTTTTTTTTTTTTTT